CTACTAAACTCTGGTAATTCAGAGGCCTTTGGGTTTCAAATCCCATCCCACAAACCAGATTCTCATTCCACCTACTAGCATTATCCATGTTATATATGTTGAAGTGAAACAGATACTGGATTGTCGGTGGGGGAATCTAAGGCAGTCGTGGGGGAGGGAGGTTTGTTTTACAAAATACAATATTTTTCTTTCTAATTCCTTTAAAAAAAGAAAATCTCATGATTTTTCAGCGTAGTTGGACTTGTTAAAACCACTGGAGTCTGTTATGTGACTAACTGACTGACCGAATGAATGTGATTGTAAACTGACTGGTATAAAAACAAAACTCTAAAACTAAGGTTTAAATCTCTTGTAAAGCACTGATTTTTATTGTTCTTTTTGTTAGAGAATAAATGTTAGTCTATAATCGCTTCCAGTTTCATGCAGTTGCTTGCCTCCCTGTATCTTATTGGCCCACTAATAGGAATACTGTGTGCGTCAGTGGCCCTTGGGTTCGGATGCTCACCGGCCATGCACATGGTCTGGGCTCCATCCTTGGCCGACGCACACTTCATATCAGTGGTCGGCCTGCTAAATTTGAGCTACTGATATCACATGCTGACAATTCCATAGTTGTACCAATATATTGTATGGAATCAAGCTTTAGTAAAATAAAATAATACTTGCCAACCATGCATGTGGTCTAAGGTTTGACTCCCCCCCCCGATGTACTCCTTCACCACGCTTAGCTGGTAGTAAGCCCCCTAAAGAGGGGAAGGTCTGGTAGGAGGTTAGTGACCCTGCCCCATGTAAAACGTTACTCCTGCTGAAACTGTAAATCTGAAGCTTCGAGCCTTATGATGCTGAGGAATAAGAGAAAAATTGGCTGTCTATAGGCAAAGCACAGGGGTCGAATTTAGAATTCAATGGTGGGAAGATGACCATCTACTTAAACCAACAATCCACAGTTCCACTTTGTTAATGAACAGATAGATAAATAAGTAATGCGAGAATATGATGTATATGATTACATAATCTATTTCATTGATTTATTTATTGATTTTTTTTTGTTTTATATTATTCATAAATTAGATGAAATTGGTACACTGTACACCTTGGAAATATTAATGGTACAAGAGAATTCATTGAGTGATTTACCCGAAACATTGGCACAATGTAAACAATTACGTGTCCTAGATATTAGACATAATAAGTTATGCGAAATTCCTCGAGTTGTTTACAAGCTATACAATTTAACACATTTATTTCTACGCTTTAATCGTATACGTGTTGTAGATGAAGAAATTCAATATTTAACTGTAAGTTTATGTGGATGTGTATGTTCTTTTTTTCAAGACTGTATTATATTATCATTTTATACCGGCTTTATAGCCTATGCGTATTTATTTTTCTGTCTGTGGTTTCGGGTTCGAGCCCTGCCCTACCCATTTTAACGTTTCCTTACACAAGATAAAATAAATGCATGAATACACTAAATACATTTTGCGACACTAAAAGCATTTCCAACAGGTTACTTCAGATTTTTATCTAAAGCTGCCTTCGTTCTATATTGAAGAGACCAATTAGTTGGCTCGCTTGAAAGCACAACAAGAAACTTTTTCAAGCAACAAACGAACCAACCAACCAACAATATATTGCCCATTCAAGGAATACGAGAAGGGAAAAATGTGATGGAGTATATATACTCCACTGAGGAGACCGTTGAGTGATGTCACACATTACCAGATAGACTCTCGAGTGGAACCCCAATTGGGGAACAACGAATTCGACTTTCGATCGTAACAGGGAAAAGAGATCGTGGAGATGACAGCTTATGGGCAATGGTTGAAGCCAGTGAAATAGGACTTCAGATAACAGGATTCAATGGAAATGTGGTGTTAAAGTTCTATGTGACACTCGGAACTCAAAGAAATAATAATAGTAATAGTTGAATGACAAATACTCAACATACTTGTTGAACAAGATATAAAAGTCTTGATAAGCCTTGTGGGAGTCGCGTTCTTTTTTTCCTCTGGCAGGTTATGTGTCGCTTTTACTAACCAGCAGTAGTGCTTATAATATAGTACTGGTAGTCAGGGAATGTCTTTTCTTCCAAGCTTTCGTGTTGGGACACTGAAATGTAGTGTGCGAGTAGTGTGAAAAAGTACTGATAAGCAATCACCTTTCCCTATTTTTATTTGTTCGGTTTAATTTTGTGTTTCCCTTTGACATGTCAAATCTTAGTACGGATGTTTTGACGATATCCTTTGAATTGGGATGACGTTATCCGATGGAAAGTGACTACGAGTGAAATCCTCCAGCATTTTTTTTATTTTTGATTACAGCTTGATTCCACACTGTATTTTTGGTACGTGTATGGAATTTTCAGCGTGGATATCGGTATCCCAAATTTCGCAGGCCGACCATAGATATCAGGTGTGCGTCGGCGTGGGCTCGAACCCCGGACCATGTGCATGGTCGGCGAGAGTCTTAACCACTGTGCCACCGACGCAGCATGCACATTCCGTCCTACTTGGGACTCATCGGTTGATGGATACCTCTGCAAAAACGGTGGCCCCTCTTGGCTCAAGTGCCCTGTTGGATAATACACTTTGGTGTTTAAAACAATGGCTTCTGACTTTGGAATCTCAGCATGGAGGAGGGGGGTGGAACCATCACTTATTCGCTGGATATAATTCCGGTACATCTACATCCACTTGTTGATGAGTCCCAAACAGGACGCAGTACACACGCCTTGGAGGTTAATACTGTTAGTGTCATCTGCCTCATCAAATAATGTCAATTAGTTTTCAGAAAAAGAACTTGAATATGTATAGAATTGTAGACTGAATAGTGGTAATAATAATCATTGTTACGATGTTAAAATGAGTTAAGATAATGGTACTGATGAAGGATAGTTTTAAATGAATCACGAGTAATAATATTAATAATAAAAAGAGGTAGAATAAAATACTACTAGTAATAATAATAACAACAGTTAATAAGTAAAATATATTACCCCATGGTAGATTCAGTGTGACCAACATTTCCTTCTGTACAGAAAAACCGGGTTTATAAAATCTAATTACACATGCCTCCGCTGTTGCTTGTCAGCTGACAACAGTGAATGACTTCACAGCGTTAAAATCATATCCGTAGTCTACAAGATGCTTCGTTATTGAACCCTTTGATACCTTGACTTCAGTCCATTTTCAATGCCTTTGGCAAGTGCTGTATATCATGTGTTAGTAAACAATCGCCTTTCCGTACGACTGTATATATATTTGCTTCCAAAAACACGCTGCAATTTTGAAAGGCACAAAAAGTTTCCAATTATAAGCTACTGGTTTTTACAAGATAGTTGGAGAGCACCTACTTGGTAGTGTTGTTGAGGGATACAAGCTTCCTAGTATAATAAGTCCTTCTAATACCTTTATTGAGTCCTTGTTTGAATACTTCTAACACATCGTTTCCTTTAAATGGCAAATTGTGATACACATACACGTCGGTTAGAGAACGATTGGAAAACCTACAGGAAGTAATGGACAGTTGTTTCGTCACTCCGGTTTGGGACTCTTTAGCGTCGAACCTCAGGACCTTCTGGTTACAAGGCGAGCTCGTAAACCATTAAGCCACTGGGACCCGATTCAATGGCCAGCCCATGAATTCCAGCTTCTACCAATTCGTGACTAAGCGCGACTACTAACCATTGTTATCTGCCGGAACTCCATCCATCCAATAATTGAATATCAGTGAGATGCTCATTAGTGACCGGCCGTATGCAGGCAGTTAACCTGGGGTTCTAGTGGAAGTTGTGACCAGTGGGATGCAGCAAGTTGGGTGTGAGGACAAATGCTCACCGAAGACATTGTCTAGCGATCGCGCTATGCCATGAATTTGCAGAAGTTGGAATTCATGGGCTGGTCATAAATGGTCAACGAGCCCGTCAGAATGCCCTCGGTTCGAACCCCGGTGGGTGCTTACTGCTGGAGAGTCACAAACCGGAGTGACGAAACAGCTCTCCATTACTCCCTGCAATTTTTCCAATAGTTCTCTAGCCGACGTCAGCTCATGGTGGAATCCTGTAATCAATACTTGTTTGATGAAATGGTTTGAGCAGGATATCCCATTTTTAGATGGTCTTTACTTTCATTTCTGTGATTATTGTATTGCGTTGTGTATTATTATTAATATTATAGGTGAACCTATGTGCCTGTAGTACTTGATGCGTTTTCGCTACTTTTGTGATCTAATTTGTGAAATATCCTAATACGCACAAAAATTGTTTTCATTGCTTGTGATTTTTCCCCTCGGCAGAATGTGATGATATTTCAATCACTCATACACTCACTCGCTGTGTGCATTTGTGTACACCAAAACATTAAGGAGAAAATAATAATAATAATAATAAAATCATGAGTGGAATTTTCATAATTATCTATCTCTTATTTAATGTAAATTTTCTTGAAAAAAGTTTCATAATAATAATAATAAGTTATCTGTCCATCTACAATAATAAGATACGTGTGTTGGCATACATATGCTTATGCTCTACCATTCTGATTGTATTTCTCCAATCCTCAATTTTTTGGTCTTTTTATTTGTTGTCTGTCCGTTGAAAATTTTTGTCTGTTTCATACACACGAACACACACACACACCGATAGAGACATCCATTGTGTCTTTACAATCCTATTTTGATTTTTCGGTATCCATCTCACATTTTTTGCAATCTAGACCTCGACCAGAGGTAGTAGTAATTATTATTATTGTTGTGGATGGCTTTCATCATATTTTCAGAAAATATTATCTGGCACATATTATGCGCTGAATGTATTATTGCGCATTGATTGTATTCTTGCCTATTACCCTGGATGTGTATATGCATATATATATATATATAATATCGATCCAAATAGTACATACTTGATAATATATTTAGACTATGGCTGTCAACCAATCACAGCTTAGTGGTAGTAGTAGTATTATGTGCATTTGTACTTCCGCATCTGAGTGTGTGTGTGTGTATTTGTGTTGTGTCTGTATTCCTACTCTCATTATTTGGCTTGAATTTTTCACCTCTCTATCTCTCTCCATATATATTTGTGTATGTCTGTGGTGCGTAGGTGTGTACGCGCTCTTATCGTATCATTTAGGTACAAATGCGCTTATCCACTTTAAAAACCCTGGATATGATATGATTTTGATTATCTCAAAGTCGTCACATGCCACCTCATTCGCGCGCTCATTTTATCACAAAGGAGTAGAGATTAATGAAAAAACAGTGGTGTTCACTACGTGAGAGTGAGAGATTGAAGTTTACTCGAAAATAAATCGGATGAGGCGATAAATTTCATCATAGAATAAATTTATTTGATAAAATCTTATAGTGATATGGATGACTTATGAAGCATAATTTATTGTAGCTCATAGTCGTCATCATATCATATCAAGGCACTCATTCAAATAACTACCAAACTTTGCTTATATGTATATAGTTCTATTTTCAATAGTTGGTTTGTAAGGATTATATTTATTTTTTGAGTTTGATCACGGATTGATATGACAACTGTTGAAAATTAATCTGATGCTCGCTAGTGACTCGCTATAGGACGGAGTTCCCTGGAGTTCTAGTGAGAAGTTTTGACCGGTGAGGGTTCATCCACTCGGGAGTGGGGATGGATTTCCCATCTATGACAATTTTTGGTGGTCGCGCTAAAATCACCAATTGGTAAAAGTTAGAATTCATGGACCGGTCATTGAGGTGTCGAATCTCAGTGGCTGAATGGTATACAACCAGAAGGTCCTGGATTCGAATCCCTTTAGTGGGTGCAGACTGTTGATGATTTCCAAAATGTAGGTCTATTATTTCTTATTGTTTGATTTTATTGTGGTAGTAATACTTTCCATATTATTGGCGTTGTATTGGCGTTGCATCATTCCTATTATTCCACGACGTCCTAAGTGTGTAGATTCGATGATCGAACGATTCGGTGATCAACGTCTCTCCCCTCCCCATCTACCTATACTACCTTTTAGGTAGCTCTACTCCACCCCATTATATGACTGCGTATCTGCTCATTCAATACAGTTGTTGAGATTTCCTCTAAACTATTTATCTTCGTGTGGATTAATCATTATACGCTTAGCTAAATTCTTATGTTCTGATAGTATGGCTACCCATCTCCCCCACACCACAGTTTACTAATCTGACACATCCATGCATTTGACCTCGTTTACAGTCATTGCAAGGTATTTTATCCAATTAGAGTTATTTAGCCTAAATAGCATGTCTTTGATTGAGTTTGTATGTTTTTTTTTATGAACGCCACTATAATTTCTGCTCTCTTAAGCGGAAATTCAAACCGGTCTCTGTCTGCCTATCCAAGGTGGGCACTGAAACAAAACTCCATAGTAAGTTAGTTTTGCGATAAGTTAATATACTCACTCATTCTGTACACTAATCTATGAATTCTATTTCCTATGTAGGGATCTTTCAAGCTACACAGTTCTGTGGAGGTTAATTTCCTCGTGGTGTCCAGTGTTGATAACTCTTTCCCAACTACTCGTGTTAATCAGGAAACAGTATTATGGCGAACTTACAGAACAGTGACCCTCGAGAGGTTCAATAGCGCTTAAAAAGTAGATTTGAGTGTCTGACTCAAACCTAAGCCTGATTACTCCGTAAACTAAACATAGTCACGATTGTACTTTTATTTACATGGTTGGTTTCACTAACACTTACTCTACTTGTGCGTCTCAAGGTCTTTGGTGCGTGATTGCTCCTCTGGTGGTGTTGGGGGGGGGGTTGTTCTCTAAGTTGATCAATACTACAATGGAACATGAGGTTTCAGCATGACGTCACCACTTCATTTTGTGTTCTCTGTCGTCTGTTTAGCTGGTTTCACGACTTCCCATAAGCTTCATTTTCCTCGTCACACTACTTGATCTCTATATCACCCCTTCAGACACTCAACTCACCATTTCCCAATCGGATTCAACACTATAGCCTGTCTGAAGGGGTTTTATTTTGATCAGTGATCACCTCAGTGGCATATCTTCAATCTATTTGCATTTCGCTGTGCATATTTTCTGGGCGATAGGTTGTCAGTAGGTTGGTGTCATCACCAGAGTACCTTGTTGCTTATCCATTCTGGCCTGTTAACTATCTGATCGTCAACTTCAATCAAAGATTAACACATTTATACGTGTTTTCTTCATAGCCTCCATCTATATGGTATCATTTCAAGAACTATGTTGAATAACGGCGGAGTACTGGATAGCAGCACGCAACCACCACCTGGGTTCGAGTCCAAGGCTCTGTGGTTACTAAGAGAGAGAGAGAGGCTTCAGATCACTCAGCCACTGGAAACAGATCCAACAGCCTTTGAATTCATGTAAGACGTCCAAGCAAAATTGTCTAGATCAATTTCTAAGATGCACTTCTAGTTCATGTACTGAGCGGTGTCCAACTACTTATATCATTCGATCAGTAGTATATAACATACCGATCTGTATTCCTACTTACCGTCTTGATCACCATCTATGATGTGAAGTAGATCCCACATTTTGTGATCTGAATAGTCTCGGTTTTTCAAGGACACTATAGTAGGATTTTACCTTGAACTGTGTAAAGTACACATTGGAATTTGAGTTCTCCATAACGTTTACATGCATTCGTTCAGTTGACAGTCATTTATTTTGCTCCGCTATTGACTGAAATATATTCATCATCGCATATTTTTTTGTTTTTATTGTTTCTGTAAAACTTAGAAACTTCAAGTACTCAGTCTACGCGAGAATAAAATTCATACCCTACCAGCTAAACCTGGGATTGGTCAGTTAACTCACTTGATTACATTAGATGTTTCGCATAATCATTTGGAACAATTATCAGAAAGTAAGTTATCCTTGCGTCATATATGAATGTACATCTGTCTTTGGTTTTGTATCTATCGGGGCTGGTCAGTAATTTGTATCTATCCATCTAGAGATGCAAACTCAGTTGAAGTAGTAACTCCTCTACTTGTAACCATTGATCACAGCACACTGTGTCTGATATGTGAATTCGAATCGCAGAAGAGGGGGCCTCAGACTCTTTTGATGTCGAGTGTTAATAAACACATGAGATACTTTAGGCCAAGGTTTCCTGCGTCGATGGCAGTCAACTATGTGCCATCTTGGGTTTTCGTGGGGATTTAGATTAATTTCAGTTGTTAGATTTTGTCTTGAACCCAGCGTCAATCAAAGAAGCATTCACAGCCATCACGAAACACTGGGCAGCTATTTCATCAGAGAGTGAGATTCCTCATTAGTGTGCGCTGATGACCCTACCGTTGGGGATCGAATCCGGGGCCTTCACGTTACGTGACCTTGTGTTCGTTGACTGTTCAGTCACTTGGACTGGAGTTCAATGACCTGTGGATTCTAGTGCACTTATACTTATTCTTGTAATTTCTGTTGGACCTTACAGGCGATGTTAAAGAATGCAGTATAAGAAGCAGCGAGTGGTCATTATCAGCTACTCTATGTTGTAATATAGACGAATGAATGATTTTATGCTTTCCTTTGTTCAGCCAAGGTAGAAAATTGATATGTATACACATGTATATATATATATATTATATATATATATATATATATATATATATATATATATATATATATATATATATATATATGGTGATCTCTCTTTCTGTTGCTCGCTTAGTCTGTGACCATTTCACTTGTATGAACTTGTCTCCTTTTATGGGTTGTGGCGGGTGTTGCTGTTCTCACACTGAACCTTCCCTCCAATCTCAGAGATCCAACCTGCCGGTGGGAAATTGAACCCGGCACCACGTGCATTGTTGGCAGGCATTCTTCCACTGAACCTATAAATGTTCATTTTATTATTATTTCCTTTAATTCCTAGAGGAACATAGGGCTTCAGCTGCGCGTCTCCATTGCCTTCGGTTCTCTGCTAAAGTTTTCACCTGACTCCAAGTTTACCCACATGCTTTCATTTCCTGTTCACATGACCTCCTCCATGTCACCCTTGGGGGACCAACTCACCGCTTCCCGTTCGGGTTCCATTAGATGACCTTTCTTGTGATGTTACTTGATGGTTTCCTCAGAGTATGGCCAATCCATCTCCATTTCTTCCTGCCTATTTGTTTCACAATCGGTTCCTGATTGGTTCGCTCATTGCCAGAGATCCCTGTTAATGATCTTTTCTGGCTGGCTATCTGATCTTGAGTGGTATTGACCGAAGACAGCTGTTGATGAAGGTCTGAAGTTTGTTTGAGATGCTCTTTATGACGCTCTGGCCAAGTCTCTGATCCGAATAGTAGCACTGACTGACTTCACATTGTAGTTGAAAATCTGGATCTTATTTTTGATGCTGAGTGCTGTTGAACTCCACACAGACTTGAGAGTAATGAAAGCTTGGCTTGCTTTCCCGATTCTGGCTTTGATATCCTTGTCAGTTCCGCCTGTAGTTGAGACGATGCTTCCCAGGTAGGTAAAGGAGGTTGGATATTTTGGATATGGATGAATTCACATGCATTCATATTTCCGAGTTGATTTTATCGTCTGTTCACGCACACGTCTATTGAACTTTGTATTGACCTTCATTTACTCCTTCATATTTCTAGTCACAAATCATGATTCACATCAATATTTATTGTATTTCAAGGATTTCTATGTATCTTCAAGTTTTAATCTACACACACACACACCAGAACTACTTGTTACTGTCTATTGTAATTCATATGTATGAATACCATTCTACAGTTGTAAAAATGAAATCGTCGAGTAAATCCTCGGTGTATGTCTTATTGCGAATTCATTCGTATCATTTGGTGGGTGATGGTGGTAGTGTGACTAGCACTAGAATCCTCTCGGATTCACATTTCGTCGTATTTAGGACTCGTCAACTAGTAGTGGATGTGCCTGCAATCCTCCTCGAGTGTGTGTTGGTGCTCTCACTGAGACTCGAATCAAACGCATCCATCATTTCAAATGCCAAAGTGTTATGTAGGTCACCTCTTGTACAACATATATCAGTTGTAATTAATAGTGTTCTCTGAGCTGGTTGGTTTAGTTGCGGAGCTTTCGTCGTCCTTCTAGACAACATCTTCAGCGCAGTATTTAGCATAAAGTGAAATGATTTAAATTTCTTTATGGGTGATATAATTGCGTCTCCCGGTAACCATCTTTACATATGTATTGACCATTTTCTATTGACTTGGATTCTAAACTTTCTGGTCACCTGATTTACTTTTTATTAGTTGGTATATTTCGTCTATATTAACACGTTTGCTAGTCGCATTTTCGTTTGAGTACCAGGCTTCTAGGAATTCCCTGACTGCACTTTTGGTGTTTCCTCTGTCTAAGATTTCGACATTATCCCAATGCAAACGAATATGATGATATGAGTGGGTAATTTCAGTTTCCGGATTTGTAAATGTGGTAAAATTTCACCTCATCAGACTGGGTAAAGTGGTGAATGAATTTTTAAAATTATCAGTTTGACTTATTTTGTATTTTAATTTTTTTTTTAATCACATTTATTTTGATTTTTATTTCTACCCTCGTAATCGTTCATGTCATAGAAATTGGTCAGTGTCAAAAATTGTGTACCTTAAGCTTACAACATAATGAATTGCGTTCATTACCGAATACAATCGGTGATTTAAAAATGCTTGAAAATATCGGTCTAAGGTTAGTCAGTGTGTGTATGTGTGTATGTGTGTGTTTATTTTCATTCTTTTCTCCCTCAAACGTTGAAACTTATTCACTGCTAGGGTGTTACGATATCAGTGTAGTGTAGTCAATGAATGATTGGATGAGTACATTGATTGCCTTAATTGACATAAAAAATCCCCTTGGAAGCCATTTTATTTATTCCTTTACCTTCCCAGTGGAATATAGAGTTTCTAGCTATAGGTTTGAAGTTTCGATAGCAGTGGTGTTTATTTTTACGGGATGGGGTTGCTGACCTCATACCCAACCTTCTCTCTTTACCAGTCTTATTACTGGCTCAGTGAGGTGAAATAGTGTACCGGCCGGGGATCGAACCTCGGACCACATTCTACTGCGGTACCACTGACGCATAGTGGCTTGGCATGTATCTAATTACTACAAAAAAATATATAGAGAGAGAAATATTTAATGTTAGCTGCTTGACTGACAGCTGCTACCTTGACGAAGTTCTTAACTGACAATCATCGATACATTTCTATGCAGACGGTGTGTAACTGATCGGCGTTAAACACTTGTTCTTTGCACTCTGTGGTCACGCATCATTCAAACTTTTATTTTTGTCAGCTACTTCAAGACGAAATCAACTTTTACAGTGGGAGGGGTGAATAACAATCGCAGATACATTCCCATTAGTAGACCAAGCCTTTCCTTTCCATTTTAACGCTATCCGACAAAGTTCTTGTTCACCTTCTCTTAACTCTGCGACCCTATTCCTGGCGAATTGAGCTATCGTATTGTAATTTCTTCGTTCATTTGAGTTCCGAGGGGAATACTGGACTTCAAGCTCTGAAGTTTCAATAACAGTGATATTGTTAGTTTTACTAGGGTGGGGGGGGGTTGTTAGACTCACCCACAACCTTGCCCTCTTTACCGGGCTTACTATCAGATAAATGAAAATATTCCCTTTGTATTTATTGTACTTGACAATGATTTTAGTGTTAGCGTGTGGTTAGCGTCATTGTTGTTGTTGTTTTGTAGCTTATTAGTTGCATTGATTGTGTTAACTGTCAACGTCTTATTTCATCTTAACAGGTATAATCATTTAGAATCATTGCCAGACTCATTGGCACGTTGTACAAATCTCTTAGAATTAAATATTGAAGGCAATAATATTTGGCAATTACCGGTAAGTTGTCTATTTATGTTTTTATACTCATCGGTTTAAAAAAATAATAATATCTGTTGGTTTCAATGGTGAAATGATTCTATAATATGTATATACACACACGAACAAATCAGGAGACAAGCAACGATCTTCTGCATAGTGTGTATATTTGTGCTTCGCTTTGTTTTCCCCTCTGTATCTGCAAAATATGAAAGAAAAAAAGCGTCCAGCAGTACTCACTAGTTTTCAATAATCACTCATTGATATTTATTCACGACGAAATTTACAAAGAAAAACTAATCCAAATCTGATGCTCACTAGTGACTGGCCCTATTCACTCAATTAACCTGAGGTTCTAGTGGGAAACCGTGACCAGTAGGGTACAGCAGGTTGAAAGTGAGTCAGTAGTAACTCATTGACGAAGACATTACGAAGTGGCCACGATGTCATGAATCGGTAGAAGTTAGAATTCATGAAACTGGTCATTGGATTGGGTCTCAGTGGCTTAATGGTCTAGGAGCTCGCTAGCCTTGTTAGCAAAAGATCCTGGGTTCGAACCCTGACTGGTGGGTGCGCACTGATGAAGAGTCTCAAACTAGGCTGACGAAACAGCTGTCAAATTACTCCCTGCAGGCTTTGTAATGGTTCTCCAACTGATGTCAGCTAATGACGAAATCCTGTAAACAATCAAACAAAATCCCTACAAAACCAATACTTGATGATCCAAACCTCTGAAAACGACACCCGTCATCTATAGTTAAAGACCTATTGTTATTGACAGCATTAATACTTTGAAAAAAATAATGTATTGAATCATAATATCTGTTTTTTTTCATTTGAAAGGCATCTGAAAATTATAATATGCATAAATATATAATACTAAGTTGAAGCCTTTGAAGTGAATACAGGAGTATAAAACAAGCCTGTCTACTATCATCTACCAGTGCTTACAAGAAACAAATGATTATCTGAACAGAACTGTAGGAGATGGTCACCGTTGTCGGTTCGCTGGCACGGGACTCCATACGTGCCACCGATATCCTTCTCAGATTGACACAATTTCCCTACTTGAGCATTAAAGTCACCAGCTAGAACGACTATATCTGAGCGTTCGGCCTTAGATATAGTCGTTCAACTGGGACTTTATGCTCAAGTAGGGAAATGGTGTCACTCTGAGAAGGATGTCGGTGGCACCTATGGAGTCCCGTGCCAGCGAACCGACAACGGTGACCATCTCCTACAGTTCTGTTCAGATAATTATTTGTTTCTTGTAAGCACTAACTTCAAACACAAGGAGAGGGACACTGTTTGACTTGGAGACCCCGTTCATCTAACCAACGGTGGACACAAATAGACCACATAGCAATAAGCTATCGTTGGCGTGGGTCGGTAGGAGATTGTCGCTCCTTCTGGAACACGTGTGTAGATACCGACCACGCACTGGTCCGGGCTCGTGTGTGCTTACGACTGAACGGACGTAGGAAACAGCTGGCGGTGAACCCATCACGTCCCCAGCTCGGTCAGGAAACTAAATCTCTATATGAGGAAGAACTAGCTAAACACATATCTGAGTTTGACATCTGTGCTCACCCTGAAGAAGCCTGGAAGAATATTCAGTCAGCCATAGATACAGCTGTGAAAGCTGTGAATAAGGTAAATCCAAAGGTGAGTAAAAACCATTGGATATCGACTGCCTCATCCGAACTGATAGATGCTAGAAGACTTATTCCGGCGAGCTCCGAATTCAGTGAGGAGCGAAAGCTGCACAAAAGGAATCTTACAAAAAGTCTCCGCAAGGACCGTGAATAGTGGTGGCTGACAAAGGCGAAAGAGATGGAAAAAGCATCGGCGATAGGCAACACTAGGCAACTCTTTAGACTCATCAGGGAAACGGGTGGGAGAAGGCAAATCATAAGTGAGACTATTTCTGAGAAAAATGGCTCCTTAATTAGCTCTCAGGACAGACGCCTTGAACGCTGGAAAGAACAGTTTGAGGGACAATTTAACTTGCCTACAGCCACACTGAACCTCCCCGACATCCAGCACACACCCGAATGGGATATAGACACTGGTCCGCCGTCTGTAAGTGATATGTATCCATATAATATGTGTGTTTTGTTTGACAGTCTGTTCTTGGTGATATGTATCCATATAATATGTGTGTTTGTTTGACAGTCGGTTACACTTTAGTATGTATACATGGATCGATATTCCATTATAATTAGTTAATCATGTTAAGACTGTCTATTGATTTGTTCATTTTGAATATTCGCTCACACACTTGTTCGGACATTCATATTTTGCTCTCACACTTTTGTGTGACATTGATTCGCCTGGAAAATAGAAGTATCATCGCAAACCTAGTGGTCTTCTGATTTCCTTTTTTCTTGCGTCAGGACTATTATGTTCCATTTGAATCTCAAGGGGACAATAACCATAGAATAATTAATTGAATATTAGAATAGTGATCAGGAAAAAATAATGAAAGCAATACAGAATTTATGAATTTATAGATTTCACAGTAGGCATCAAAGTAGAGCGATAGTGATGACTAAACCTGTTTCGTCTGCTCACAGAGTTCCGATTGTTTTAAGCGAACTGCAATTACCTCGGCTGTTTAAAGTATCCGGTATCTATGGTAGAGCCTTTGGTAATTGATTCCTCCCGATAGATAAAGATTTTTCACTACTGACATTTTGGTCTGTTTGAAGTAGTTGATCCGATCCAATAGCTCATGAATTGCAGCTTCTGCCGATTGGCAGTAGGTATATTGTAACTGCCCCAGCTAGGGGGTAAAGGCGGTTAACTTTAACTCTTACGTGACTTGGTGGACCCCACTGGTTGTGACTTCTCACTAGATCTCCAGGCAACTTCCTATACACAGCCAGTTGTTAGTGTGTACCAGATTCACTATGAAGTGTCGGTTTGCAGGAATTACCATGGCCTAAAGTTTTGATCACGTGCTGACCGGGAAGGTCGTGGTTCCGAACCTCTGGTGGGCGATTAGTGCTGTTGGTTTGCAGCGTCTAACTCCAATTTTTTGAGGTGTTTTTTAATTGACATCTATAATCGATTAAATTATTTTCTACTGCATAATTATTTCTCATGATTATTAACACTGCTTTCTTTCATATTTTTGCTTCGCACCTCCCCCATCCATTTGGAAAAAAACACATACAGGAAGGGTTATTAACACATTTAAAGAAGATCTCGTGTGTAACATTGTCAAGAAATTATTTCAATGTATTCCCATCCGGTGGTCCTCAACAATTCACTTGTATACAAGTAAGTCAATCAGTCAAGTTATTTTTCTCCTTGTCCTTGAGACTGTGTGTTCCTCTTTCCTCTTATTTCACTATCGTGGGTTTGATTCTCACTTCCGATCGATAGTTAGCTTAGCTGTGCTACTTTCCTTGATGTAGTTGGAAAGTGGTCGAAAGTGTATATATGAACGAATATATTTATGCGTGAAGGTGAAGTTAACTGTCTGACAGGGTTTGTGTGCTCAGAACGAAGCAAGCGGCTATCTTAAGGCGCCACCTTCCCCCGAGCCTTTAATATGATATCTGATCTTCAAGACAGAGGAGCAGCGTCACTAGATACGTTCTCATGGTTGACAATGACCGAAAGAGGTTAGTATGGCATTCGATCCGTTCGGATTGTGGAATCCATGTACCTCATAGGCTTGGATTCTATGTTTTTCAGCCTCCTAAGGCAGATCAGCATGTGCACCAGTTTGTTTGTAAGTCCCAGACGTTTGCATTCTCTTTTTGGGTCTTGTGAAGAACACAGACGTGTCGTGAAGGCGATGAATAGAACCTATCTGACTGACGCTACTGGCGCGTGGTGACATGAAAAAAATTCCAGGTAAAGATGGAAGTCTAACCACTTTCAGCCACACCCGGTCGTTTATAGGGGTTAGTCACCAGATACTGGATAGCTCTTTTGTTCTAGTTTGGGACTGTTCAGCAGTACAAACTTATGACCCCACGGGCGGGGATCGAACCCAGGACCTTCAGGTTGCAAGGCGATCTGGTTGACCGCAAATTATATCTTTTTCTTTAAATTGTTACCAAACATATGGGAGGTGGTTTTTGGTTCAATTTCCGCCTGGTGCATTTTTAAACCGCACCTAGTTAGCTAGTAGCAAATCTGTAGAAAAGGGAGAAGGGTTCGACTTAAGGCTAGCGGTCCTGCTTTGAAGGAAAAAAGACAACATCTCTTAAATGTCGAAGTCCTATATGTTCTACTTGGAGCTCAACAAAACGGAAGTAAAATAAATAGTGCTGATTGCTAGTCTTTGATTAACTAACTCTACACTACCTTTCCTTTACTTGTATGTCTCTTCTAGTCACTTAATATGGAACATAATCAAATCACTCGGATACCATTCGGTATATTTTCACGGGCATCGAATTTAACTAAATTAAACTTGAAAGACAATCAAATCAGTGCTTTCCCACCAGGTTAGTTTATTATTATTAAGTTTTATATGATATTTCCGCTTCTGAGTTGTGCTCATCATCTTCATTCACTCATTTACTCAGTCAATCAGTCAACTAATCTTCTTTTGCCTCTTGTTCAGGTTATGTTCACTGGTAAATTCATGTGAACACCATCCTTCGTATCACGGACCCAGTCATGAGCTGAAAACCATTGGAAGACTAGGAAGTACTACTGGACAGTTGTTTCGTCCTTGTTTGGGACTGACTCTTCATCAGGACGTACCCACTGGGATTCGAACCCGAGACCTTCTGACAACAGAGTGAGTTCGTAGACCATTCAGACACTGAGATGGAATCCACTGACGCATGAAGGGCCTTGGATTGATCCTTGGCCGTGTGGTCATGGGTACGTAGTTATGAAGAGACTCAAACTGGGGCGAAGCAACTGTATATCAGTACTCCGTGGTTTTCAGGGGTTCTCTAACTGATATCAATGAGTCATCAAAAATTAGAATAATGTCAGTAGGGTACAGCAGGTTGAAGATGAGTCAGTAACTCATCGAAGAAGACATTACGAAATGATCGCGCTATGTCGTGAATTAGCAGAAGTTAGAATTCAAGAACCATTGGATTGGGTCCCAGTGGCTCAATGGTCTACGAGCTCGCCTTGTAACCATAAGGTCCTGGGTTCGAACCCTTGTGGTGTGTGAGTACTGATGAAGAGTTCCTAACTCGGATGGGAGAAACAGCTGTCCAGTACTCCCAGTTGGTTTTACAGTGGTTCTCTAACTGATGTCAGCTCATGATGAAATCGTCCATGCAACCAGACGAAATCCCTACAAAACCGATACTTGAAAATTCTCCTCTTATTGAAAAATATTCATTTATAATAATATGTATTATATAAAAATTTATAACGTTTTTCTTTTTCTCTTGTCTCCAATGCCCATACCAACTTCTTTCTCCACCTCAAAACACACATTCACACACAAATACAAGATATCAAAAGTTGGACAAGTTTAGTGGAGCTGAATGTTGGCACAAATCAATTGACTAAACTCCCGATGATATAGAACATTTAATCAATTTAAAAGTTCTCATATTGAGTAATAACCAATTGAAAGTAAGTTTATTATTTTTATTATTATTATTATTATTGAGATAAATAAAAGGGTTATTTTTTATTTGTTTATATATGACGTTGGTTACTATTTAATGACCAATCAAAGTGTTCAATACGGTCCTACATGAGGTCAGTCACTAACTCGGATACCTCAGTAGTAACATTTGTGGCTGCAACACTAGGTGACATAGGTTTGAATCTCACAGGGGACATCAGTACCTTCAAGGTTGCAGATATACCTTATTGACGAGTACTAACAAAGACAAAACTTAGTTTCAAGACTTACTGTTAACTGCCTTCAAGTATCTATGACCAATTCAGAATGTACCGTGATGGTGATGAGTCTCACAGCAACTTGGTGACCATATTGCGAACTAGACTGATAGAATTCAATCTGCACTAAACGTAGGACTAGATAAATAACATTGGTAACATCTTAGTCACCGACTAATCAAAGTATGTATTTCAATGCATCAGTAGTTCATTGATAGAATGCTCACCAACTGTCCATGTAGTTCGACTCCCAACTGACTCATTCCGAAACCCCTTATCCTGATCGTGGTAGTGAATCACCGAAATTTCAAAAGCTTAAGGCCTTGAAGCGCCCTATTTCACTTTGAAAACACACAGAAAGAGAGGTATGAAAACGTAAACAGCATTGTGTTTCCTAACCCAACAGCTGGTATCTACTGTTAACTTTTATCATCAGATATCATCTGTCTATTATTGATACTTGGCTCTCTGAAAACCTCATTCATTAGACTGATTGGTTGGTTAATCCTTTTTTTTTCTTTGGTTTTTACCAGTTTATCTCAGTATATTGTCTGCTTGACTGATTGTTTGAGTTTCAGCTCAGAACTTTGCACAAAAGTGCACCAGCTTAATTTATCACACTCTCATGTAACGCACACAAGGGTAAAGGTAGACAAAAGAAAGTAAAAGAAGAATTTCAAAAGAACAATGGTAAGCGCAGAAATATGCGGGAGAAAGAAATAGTAACTAGGGGAAAACATGGTGGTTTCGTGGATATAAGAAATCACATAAGGAGTGAATGTATCTGTGCCATTGAGTATCATTGAGGACCTACATAACTGAAACCAACTGTTTCACCACGTCTAACCCTTTTGTAACCTAATCCAATATCAATATCAATAGTCCCTGTCGAGCGAGGCAATGACTTGGCATACGCAACACGTGTCGTAGCTATGACAATCGATACAGGTTCACAACTTTATTGAGTGGCTTTACCCTGCCTACCTAACGCTCTACGTGTAACTTTAATATTACTCGACATATTGTATTGGTAGAGGACCAGGGACTTGGTAAAGGAATGTTTATTTTTGGAATTTATTATCTCTATATAGCCAAATTATGTCCATCTTATCTTCAAGTCACCATTTGCACCGATTTTCTGAGCTGTGCTACTTCTGACCTTCCTTGACATTGTGTTTCTTTGTGTTCCTTTCACATCTCCCATGTTTCTCCGCAACGCTGTGTGATTTGCTTTCTCTGACGTCAAATCTATTCCCCTGCTATTCGATGTTTTGATGATGATGATGATGAGCACCTCTTTATATATTACTAATAAATCTTATCAGTAGCACACACCAGAGCATTATATCACTTAATGTGGGAAGGCAAACATCCGTGGGGAAAGACAGGTAGCCTTTTTTATATTTTTCGCTTCCAATAGCCATGTCTCATAACCACAAAGGAAGGTAGGGAACTACTGCACACTGCACCTTACCCACTTATCGATAACCGAATATCATGTCTATAAGTCGGCAAATGCTTTGACTTTGTCCGCAATTATTCTGTTTCGGCTGATGTAACTTCCAGAATAACTGTGAAGTGGTCAGCGTAATCAGCCACTGTACTCCCTATCTTTCCGATAAAGTCTGTGTACTCTAATCCTATAGTATCATCTTACACTTGGCCAGAGGGAGTCGCACGCCAGACCTGGGAGATTGCTACCGCGGTGTCCAGAAGACTCTGCATTTTACCGGGACAATAGAATCCTCATACTCCAATCCAAAAATTTTTCTCCAGTAACAATTGAATGCCGAAGTCGCCTAATCAGTTAACATCGATCCAATTAATAGATTTCTGGTGAAAACAAATAAAAATACAGACAGGGGAGTATCCCTGACCGACACTACTGTTTGTCATCACTTGAGATAATAACTCTCCATTAGCTCTTAGGCGGTTGCGTAAGTTCGAGTAGAGTATCTTGATTAGTGCATTATCCTTTCTCAGCCCTTTCCCTTCATGACTAAACATTGCTATAGCACCTCTCAGTCGATAGATTCAGAATATATAAAGAAAGTTTTGGGCACCAATTAGTATATCTATGTTCCAGAATTTGTTGAAGGATAAAGATATGTGATCACTATATACCCCGTCATCTTGGTCTAAAGCCTGCCTGGTTTCCTGGGGTTTGTATTTCCTGAAAACTTGTTTTCATGATATTTATTTCGTTTTGTTTACATTTGTGTGTGTAACACTTGATCGTTGTTTTCTCAGGCATGTTTTTTCACAATATTCCTACATATTTTCACATCCATTCTATACATATATACTATCAAAGATATTACCAAGGCACCCCAGTCATCCCCCTTGTTATTGTTATATCACACTTTTTTTTGTAAAAAAATGAAAACAACAAACAAACAATCAGGGTCACATATACAGTTTTAATGACTAACTGAGTACACATTCCAGTTTGTGCGATTGTTTATGTTTTTGGTGGTCTAGACAATGCGTTCATCTCAGGTCATGAATATTTTCCATGTATTATACTAGGCTATTTATAGGTATTTATATTGGCGTATACAAAACACAATGTAGATGTTTTTATCTATCTACCTATATATGTTTATGAGTTATGGATTATTTTTATAGGCGTCTAGTCAAAGGTTGAATTCATGAAATATATAAATAATTGTCAAGTATTGGTTTTGTAGGGATTTTGTTTGACTGATTACAGGATTTCGTCATGAACTAACATCGGTTAGGGAACCATTGGAAAGCCTGCAGGGAATACTAGACAGCTGTTTCGTCAGTCCGATTTGGGACTCTCCATCAGTACGCACTCACCACACGAGGTTCGAAACCAGAAAATTTTGGTTACGAGGCGAGCTCGTAGACCACTGAGCCCCGATCTAATGGCCAAGCCATGAATACTAACTTCTACCAATTCATGACATACCACAACCACTTGGTAATGTCTTTTTCGATGAGTTAATGCCTCACCTTCAACCGGCTGTACCCTACTGGTCACGGCTTCCCACTGGAACCGCAGGTAACTGCCTGAATAGGGCCAGTCGCTAGTGAACATCAGATTAATTGTTTCTAACTGATGTCAGCTCATGATGAAATCCTCCATGCAATCAAATATAAATAAGTAAATAATAATAAAGGCGCATGACAACCAATAACGCTAATCTCTCATTATCAAAGGGATAGATTTGAACTAGGTCACTTCATCATTTCACTTATGCGCCGTACTGAGCAGCTTCGTTTCTGTTACAATGAACGCATCGACTCTTTGTAGTCTACTAATTGCAGGAAAGCGATCTCTGTATTCTACTACTGTGGTATAGTTGATAAAACTCCTTTTAGACACGCACACTCACATACTATCACAAAACGCTATGAATGCAGCAAAACAATGTGATTGTATTCGTTTCTCTGGAATCTGTGGTTCTCAACAATGTCGTTAGGCAGCTAGCTATACAGAAAAGATTATTTTCTAAACACAAAACAAGTAAGTACTTAGAGTTATCAAGTAGAGTGTTCCCAACAAGATGGGAATCAAAAACTCTGTCAGCAAGAATTACACACCGGCAGCTCCCCTAGACGACAGTCTAAGATCAGAATCACCTTGATTCACTCAAACAAAATCACAGTGTAAAATCACATTGTCAATATCATCACACAATCACAAAGAGAAGCATCAAAATTAGAGATCAAACAGGAATAAAGACTGATTATAACGATCAAGCGAACATATGACATTGCAAACGTTAGAATATTGATACTACAGTCTAGGAGAAGGACGGATAGTAATACCTACAAAGTCAGTTGAAACATTCAAATAAGTAAAGAAATATTGTGATTAGATGATCGTTCAACAGGGACTTTCCAAACAGTGTATTTCCGTTAGAGTTTCAGCTACAGGCAGTGAGTGGCACACGAATGATGATGTCAAAGTGACCATTGGCTCGGGAAAGCAAAACAAACATCTATTAATCTGAAATCAGTGTGGAAATCGACTGCATCCAGCATGAAGAAGAAGAAGAACAACAACAACATTCGAATATTGTTCAACACTAACGTCAAGTCAGTCAGTGATTCTCTGTATGGTTCAAAAGCATTTCCAACAGGCTGTTGTAGGCCTCCATTAACAGCTACCCATGTCACTACATACTGAAGACCAGATGGCCGGTCATTCGATCAGAAAAGAATCAACTAAAGGGAACTCTGGTACAAAGAGAATCAACCATCAGCCTGCTGCCCAACTGATAGATATGCAGACGAATATGGAGAAGGATGGGGCATACGTGGTGGAGACCGCTGAGTGTTGTTATCACTCGCCAGACGAACTCTCGAGTGGAACCGATTGGTGAAGAGATGAAATAACCGTCGCTTCGAGGAAGATATGGAGATAATAATGTGAGGAGGAGATGACAGTTTATAGGAAATCGTGGAGTAGGCTATAGGGATATGCTGCTATAAAACCCCTATATTCCTTCTGGACTCCAAGGGAATAAAATAACAATAATAATAAGTCAGCGTAGTATAATTGGAAGATTCAGTAGTATTGAAAGAATACTAGAATGATAGGCATAAATTATAAAGCATTGTAGTTGAAACTGTTTGAATGAAGAAGATTAAAGGAAACGAGATAAAAGAGAAAAGGTACTCTTGGGAGGAAGAAGAAGTTTTTTTTTCATCGAAGTTAGGAACATTGCCTGAATACGTTATTTTATGAATACGAA